TTTTTTTTATTATTATTATTATTATTATTATTATTATTATTATTATTATTATTATTATTGCTGCAAAGTACTAAGTCACTTCCCTGGTGTAAGCGTAATCACACCCGCCAGCTTCCTCAAAGCTGGGCCGAGGACATGGATTTGTGGAAGTTAAAACAACTGATTTGTTTTGATTTTGCTCTGGAGTTTTCCTCTGCTTTTGAGAATCAATTTCCAAGGTCCAGTTAGGGAGGAGAGCTGTTATTTTGACAAACATCCCTCCAACAAAACTCCACTTCTAGTCTTCACTTCCTGGGAGTGTTTCCCACTCAATTGGATTTCCTGTTTCTACCCCTGCAATCTCGAAACCACTTCATACATAAGTGATTTTCAGAAAGTGGCCTAGTCCTGAGGCAGTGAGCCATAGAAAGATCTAGATCAAAGGTAATTGTGTGCCCTTCACAAAAAAAAAAGCCAGTTCAAAAAAAGAGTGCCCCGCAAACATTTAACCCAGCAAAGAAAAAGGAAAAACTGAAAGATGCAAAGACTTGCTTCTTTACGGATCAACATTTTCAAAGCAGCATTATCAAAACTCAGGGAAACAAAATCATTGCTGAATCGGGCTTCACAAGTACCATCATAATACACACCTAAACTAGTAATTGCCAGAGAAAATCAGTGTACTGCTATGACAATACAAAGCTGAAGGGTTTTACTACAGAAATAAGTCAGCCATTCTGAGATGACACCAGCTCCTACCCTAATTCTATATTCTTGCTATAGCATGTCTGTACACCAATATGAAACAAAGACTGGGAAAATGTGGGGCGGGGGGGGGAGAGAGAGCCACTCCAGGTACCTGTAATGCAGAACTCTGGCACTGGCAGCATTTTGATTTATTTTATGGATTTATTATTTTTTTTGGTAGATTAAGAAATGGTTGGCAGTTGCACAGGAAGTTAAGAAAAGCAGGCTGCTTGTGTCCTCCACAGAGCATTAATGGGCCCCAGCCTTATCCTGTAATTTGAGTAACATAAGCACCCATGTGAAAGGTCATGTTTGTTTTTGGAACAAGTCACATCAAGGTCTTGTGCAAATGGAAACTGCTGTATCCGAATCTTTCTCTCTCTCTCACACACACACACAGAGTTATCTAGGCCCCCCCCTCCTTTGAAAGCAATCATTACAAGTGCAGAAAGCCCTACACACTCACATTAGGAACCGACCTTCCGTGTGAGCCATAACAATTCAATCCCAACTCTAGTTCATCTCTGCAAAGGAAGTAGACTTTGGAGACTACCACAATGACCTTACTGATGCTACCCATATTCTGAAATAAATCAACCTTGGGAAATGTTTTTCTTTTTTAAGTCCCTGCCACCAACTCAAGGTCCGTCATCAAAAAACAGTAACCTCTAAAGGCCGTTCTAAAGTCTTTTCCTAACGCTGAGGAAGGCATCTGTCAGAACAGCATGGGGGAAACTGAACCAACCAAAAAAGAAAGAAAGAAAGAAAACTGGAAGATCAGGATCTTCTGGTAGACCTCCAAGATGACTTGTCGTATATTGTCAATGTTTTCCAACTCCTGAGGTTTAACATAGCAGCAACAGAAAGGCTATTGACCTATATCTGCACATTTACTGGAGCCTCAGTATTCCTAGCTATAAAATGGGGCTTCGTCTATGGTGCCTAGCAAAGATTGCTGTTCCTTAGAATGGCAAGTAAAATTGAGCAGGCAGAGAACATGTACATGACTATACCTCCTGAACCTTGCACAAAACCCACTAGGAGTTGAACTTAATTCCCTTACTTATTGATAATTCCCTGAATTCTATTAAAGAGCAACGCTGATTCTGCCCACCGCCCCCCGGTTGCTTTCTTCTGGCACAGAATACAATCCCTGGAAATTACACACAACAGAATGTCAAACTTGAACTTCCGACTCCCACAGAATAGAAGAAATTACTTTTGCTTTAGTCTGTATGGATCCAGATCACAGGGACTTCACTGTTTACTGCATTCATTATTTTTAAAACACTTGGTCTTACAATTTACTGTTCGAAGAGTTTTCAATGTGTTAAGATGATCTGAATCCTGACATGCCCACTGTTTTTAAGTCATCCTCCACGATCCATCCCACTCACGTTTATCGCTGTGTTTATTATGCATACTCCCAAATGAGAAATACTATTCTTGTTACTCTTATTACTTTTATTGGGTGCCAGCTATGATTGTGAAGCGGGGGACACACACCCCTTCCTGAAATACAGCCCAGCTTCCCAAGAGTCGGTAAAATGTAATCAGCAGTGGATACTTACACACCCTCCATTGAAACTCACTATCAAAGCTGCTTCCATTTGCCCAGCCAACACCCCCCCCCCCCCACCTGTTGCACACTCAGGCTA